GATCGCTTTGTATTGCTTGGGAACGGGTATTGGCTAATACTGACAAGTTAACAGCAGATACTGGAGAGGATAAAGGTATACATCACTGTGAGGAAATGGGGAAGGAAACGCATGTGTGCTGTAGATATCAACCAGGAACTAGCATTTTATATCAAAGCTTTAACAACCAGCCCAACCGATACAGATATAGGGATTGCGGTTTGATATCATTTCCATTAGTTGATATCGTATCATTTTCCTAATATGGTATCCCACGTTCTAGTCTAGAACAACCCGTTTCTGACCTACTCCTTAAGTTCATCGAATTCATTACAGTACGTCAATCACCTAAATGACATGACTGAGCTTGTTGATATAACCCCCCGCACTACCTCCAGGCTTCTCTCTATAGATTCCTACATATTTGTCACTAAAAGCAACTACTATGGCAGAGAGCACTAGCGATCCAGCACCAAGCGCTGTGTCTACTGACGAGCTCAATCATCCGAAACGTGTCATCTGACGAATCCGTGTAAATGACTTTGATAAGTGGACCTGGGGTGATTCCGATAATACTATAGAAGAATATCTGGTCTTTTCAGGGCGCCCAGTCGAGGAATTTGATCAAGATATTCATCACTCACACCTCCAAACCCCTTTAGCAGCAGGACGGGGATAGTTGTATATAATCCTTGATCTTCACAGGGATCTACTCAGGAATCCTGACCTGAAACAAGTGAAGCACGAACTCTACCGCGTTCGCCCGGCGGAGGACGGTATAATGTATGTATACCATATAGTCATATCTGGGAATTTAGCTAATATATATGTATAGCTCAGCTCACAGGTATCAGAACCGATATAGAATGCTGAGACTTTTATGAAAGTTAAGATTCTACAGTCAAACCGTCGCTGGAGGTGGATATAGTGTCCGCATCTTTCTGTGCAGCCGCTGACGTTGGAGGTCGTGACGGCGGCCCCAAAAGGCTATTGGTATCGGTCGCTTTAGGGCGGAAGCTGTGATTGGGCAAGATATTCGCTCTCACCTTCTTTTCATCGATGCTATCCTCATCGCTGCGGATTGCATGTACTTTTTGAGGCAGAGAGGCAGACTACATAGACACTTACTGTTTAGACAGTGAGCACGTCGCCGGCCCACGTTGGTGAACACAAGATGCGCATGCCAGGAAGTGAATCCCTGGCGCAATGGCACAATGCTTGGAGGCTTGCTTTCTTCAATCCGGAATGGTACTGTAGCAACCCCTACGCGATTGCAAAAGGAGTGACTTGTATAAACAGTATCGACCCCATGTCTCGGCTGACATGGGTGGATGGCCTCATGATCGACGCGCCGGACGAGCAGACCTGCGTGCGATGATAGAAATCCATACTCGGGCTTAGCTTGAATGGGGTTGCACATTGCAAGCATGATTCTTTTGATCCTGGCAAAAGCCCCGACTAAGTTCTTCAGACGAACTGACTACATTGACGTTGGTCCGAATCGTGAAGCCTACCTAGACTTTGAATTAGCAACAGGATATCCAGTATGTGTAGAATAATGCCAGCGTAACAAGGCATAACGGCACTCAAGTGATTTCCTGGTTGCCGGCATCCGGGGTTGTATAGAAAACTTTAAAGAAAGATGCCAAGTATAGAGCTTAAGTTTTGGATAGGAGAGACTCTTCAGGAACACAACCCAACCACGAGACCATTTTGGTTGTTATGTTGTCTATCCTTAACTTGTAGTATTTTGTAGGCATATGAACCTTTTACTGGGCTAAGGCCAAGATGTAATCTGGAGAAGTGTTTTAGTATGTAAGGTCAATCCTTGAAAGGCCTTCGTAGACATTTGTGAAGGTCGTCTAATCAGGCCGGTGAACCACCCGTTTCTCATGTAACTGGCGCGGATTTGCCATCGTCCAAGTATAGCATGGGGAGCAGCATTAAATTCCGGAAGCGTCCTGCCCGAACTTCCTTCAGGTAGGGCATTTTAGTGGATGGTGACCTCGCAGTTAGGGCAAGGGCAAGGACAAACGTCAAGAAATGCGTCTGCTTTGCCACTGCTCTTGTATCTTCCAAACTCCTATACCCGACCTTCTTATCCCTGGCAGTATGCCCCTGTCTAGTACACCTCTTTACTGTCTCCAGGCGCACAAGGTCTTAGTAATCGGATTCCCCACTGATAATAACCCTTTGCGACAGGAAAGTGATCAATAGGGTTTCAAACCCCAGGCGCATAATTTGGGCTGGGAGAGAGGCAAGCGACCTCCATTCTCGAAGAACTACTTAAAGAACAAGGGTTATTCTCACTCTCGCAAGGGCCTTATTTTCGAGCTGCCATCTGTCACGATAGACAGATCGTTAAGGTCTTTGACTATAGGGATACTTAATCAATGAATACCTTCCATTCGAATCAGGATAGCTTACCCAGCGTTGCGGGAAATGGGATTTCCCAGGACATGAAGTTCATAAGCGCCGGTGTCTTAGGAATTCCAAAGTACTTTTCCACATACTCATACTCACGTTACAGTATGCTATTGACGTATGCTCTTTCTTTATGTGATCTATGATAATATTTGGAACCTTTATTAATGACTCTGATTCTTCAAGACTCATACCCTCTGGGAGGTATTTCCGCGGTTCAAGGAAAGTCTTGACCTTCTTCAGCATCTCTTCTAGCTTCTTGAACGGGTTTTTGGATGGCATCTTGGGTATACTGGATGGTGAAGGTAATATGTTGACCTCACAATCCCATACCGAGCACGATCTAAGACGGACAGCCAGAATCTTAGCCCTTCATTGACAGCGTAGCCTCCTCTTGAGGCGCCAAGACAGAACTCCCACCTATCTGTCCATAGACATTTACATGGTCGCGGGCCATGGTGGATGTAAGTACGCGTGCCTTGGCGTCAAATTTGGGCGTACTTCCGTGGCACTTTTGGACGTATAAAAGTAATGTCCAGAGTATTAGAATGGCGTTGTGGAGATTTCAAATACGCATTTGCTTTGTATTATCCAGTCCTGTCTCAAGAAGAAAGAATGACAAAGAAGTTTTGAAATCACCAAATATAGGGAGCGCGTATCGGGGCCTTGCTGACTGTGGAGGGCGATGTTGACCCTCGCCACCGGTTGACGCCAATCGTTAGATTTGGCTTAGGCAGGGTGGTTGAGGGTCGCAGCCTTCAATCCTAGCTTTTATAGCGATTCAATTCGGTTATGAACCATGCTAGGCTGCTCCGCTAGGACATGAGTGAATGCTGTTTACGGTATAGGACGCCATATAGGCAGCTATGTAGCTCCCATTGCGTATGGAGATTTCTGCTTTGATTCCCGGAGCAGCAAGAGACCATTGTAATGCACCATGAGGCTTTGAATGTGGAGAAATGCGTGTGGAGGACAAAGATTATCACGGTACGGAGCTATGGGCACCTGCTAGGTTTTGGAACCAAATATATCTCTTAACCGGTGGATGAATGTATGAACGTTGCGGCAGTAGGTCCGAGAACCTTGATCCCTAAGCAGAATTACTGCTTGATGACTGCTTGATTGATGTTTCTCGGCAAATATGGGAAAAAGTATCCCACATCCTCCGTCTTCAAACCTTTATCAAGCAGGTGGTTTAGGTTCCCTTATTCACCTTGATTAAGTCGATCATTGAGAATTCATGGTATATGACATTTCAGGCAATGCTATAGTTGATTACTATAGGCGATTTGTTGAGGATATCTCAAACTGCTAAATCTTCTTATGTGCATGGCTACTAATCAATGTGGAACTGATTTACAAAACAGAGAAAGCCCAAAGAAGGTGGGAGACGACGGGGAGAAGGGAATGCAGATAGAGAGGGTAAGAAAGCACCTAGAAGACAAGTTGGTGTGTCAATGTGATGAGCTCTTTCACTAGCCTACTATTGAATACCTTCCATGATCTAATATTGACGAGCTAGGGTCATTCCCTTGACGCCATATTGACACCTCTCATACTATTAACCGTGGATAGTTTATGAATACTGACACTAACTTTATATTCTCCTATGGCTATCATTTCATGGAACTATGATATAACCGCAAGAGTACGAAATAGGGCTACACATCGATTCAATGTATATGAACGCGGTTAAGCATGAAAATGGAGCGAGCTTACTAAACAGGCATTATTCCTATTGAAGACCCTACGTGAATAACCTAATTCATAAAAAGGAAGGGATTTTCTTATTTTCATTCGAAGCAAATAAGGGTAAGGCATGTCGTTTGCCTGGGCCAGAGGCCATGCGCAAACAGGTCTGGATTCTCTTGGATAATAAAATGTAGGGTGAGCGTTGCACGCGGAAAGCCTTACAGTCCCAACAAACGACCATAGTGAGGAAAGGAGAAATTGATTGATTGACATGTTAGATCTGTTTATGAACGCTTACTGGGTAGATGAAAAGCTCGGGGAGGAGAATTGGGGGGAATTTATTTTCCGGGAGTAAAGGGAAAGTAAACGGCAGATCGACATTCTACATCGTAGATCCATGCTGATTCCTGTTTGTTGCTCATGCATCGCAGCATTCCGTTCACTATGTAATTCTGGAAAATAGTCGCGTAATAAGGATATCAATCTCGGTTGTTATTGCATTGTCTTGCCAGCTTGGCCACTCGATGTACCTAGTACTGTACCTAGCCTACCGTTATTAGCGGTGCCTAACTCTGTAACACATCCTACAGTAAGTTACCAACTGATAACCAACCTTATCACTCCAAGTAACAAAAACAAACAACATCATTATATAAAATATAAGCAGGGTTTGCTCCCTTTGCTAAAAAGAGAGCACGGGCATATGTTGCCTTTATAGAATTGCAATCGCGTTACCAGACTGGGCTCAAAATCATACGGGTTCAGTAAGATGAACAGAATAAATCGTGTATGATGAAAGATTGTTAAGATATTCTTGATGGTTTAGGACCAGAGAGAAAACCTGCGTTGGCTTCGGGTACCTTGGGAATCATACCACACTTAGGTCATAGAGTTAACCTTACGGTATGGGATACTATTCGCTTGCTTTCGAATGGGGGGAAAATAGGAATAGAGTGCTGAAAGTTGATCCTCAGAGTGCCTATGCCTTACTCGAGCCTGGGGTATCTTACTTTGACCTCCATGTGTGCTTGGTCAAGCACAACTTGCGGGATCAAGTGTGGGGAGACGTGCCTGACGTCGGTGGCGGTTCGGTTATTGGAAAATGCTCGAAAGAGGTGCTGGATATACTCCATACGATGATCACTGGTAAGCTGTTAGACGTAATTGTGCCCAAAAGGAGATCAGCTAATGACCTGTTCACAGGATGATGCGCTGCGGATGGCTCACTCCGCACTGGGATGGGCACTTTGCCGAACCCTAAAGCGGACAAGAGCAAGCCGCCACATGAACAGGAACCAAACGAGAGCTGGCAGTTATTTGAGTATATCCTCGGTCCGCAGAGTGCTGGTATATTTTCTGAGTCGTCTCTTGGAATCATCGTGAGAATGGGAATCTAGCTTATGCCTCCCCGGCGGGTATTAGGCGTACATGATCACCTTTCCCAGGGACAATGACTTGGATCAGATTGTGGAGATACCCCGACCCTTGAGAATCTCCGGTGTAATTCAGAATACATTCAAGTTGGATAACGTCCTAGTTAGTGCCGCTCTGCAGGTATGTCCGCCGAGCTATTGAATGCTCATTATCGGTATCTCACACTGAATTTTCTAGAGCCACCGCACCAAATACACCAATTCTGACAAGCCTCTAACCGACCTCATGTTAGATGAAATCGCCCAAAACCTCACTGTCGGTCGCTGGAATCTCTCCGGAGCGATGTACCGCTCACTCATTATTCGCGACGCTCTCTGGTCTGTCATTAAAGCGTCCTTCAGCAAGATCGCCGGCGCCAAAGTCTATTTCCCCGAAGATCGTCCCAACGACATTATTCTACAAACCCGAAGCGATACAATGCAAGGTACCCCAGTCACAACCGAGCTTGAATTATTGCCCTAGCTTCCCAACGGCGGACATCTATTCTTCTCTCCAATCACCAAAATGACTGGACCCGATGCCAAAGCCTAGTACGACATCAGCCGCCGCTTAAGCGAGGAATACGGCCTCGATTTTATTGGCATGTTCTTCCCCATATCGTCTGCATCCTGTTTGATCGGAACGATCCCGATTCAAGACGTCGGGCTTATAAGCTTATTCAGGTTCTGATCGCCGAGGCGGCGGACCGGGGATGGGGTGAGAATCGCGCTCATCTCGCGCTGATAGACTAGATTACCGAAATTTATAGCCTCGATGACAATGCTCAGATGAAATTAAACGAGCCGTTGAAGAACACGCTTGATCCGAAGGGGGTCTTGTGTCCTGGAAAGAATGGTGTTTGGCCTGCTAATTACCGTAAGGAAGCTTGGTGTCTACCAAAACCATAACATTGCCCAGCCAATCTATATACGCAAGGCTCATAAGTAGATTGAAGGCTAGTAGAGGTTAGTAACTGAAGCTAAAGGCCCTGATCTGAGCAAGCTCTGGATAGTCCGACGGGCCGAACCGATCCGCCAAATCAAAACTTTCCATGGGACCGTTAGCACTGGGCAGCAGTGATAGAAAACCGGTTTTTGTCGGATATCAAAGCAAGGAATATTAAATCTACTAACTGGTACATCTGAAACAATAAAACTTTTCTTAGTACATTGGTAGCTATTCAACATTCCGTCTTGCTCTTCGCTCCGTTTTCTGCTTAGGGTTCATACGTTTCTCCGCCGCGGGGATGGCTCGTAGCCAAGCTTGTGAGCTACCTGATCTTAGGGAGGACTAAACAGACGATCAACACAAAACAAATCTCTTACTTTTCTTTTTCTTTATTTCTTTCCTAGTACCAAGATGTTCGTGCAATTCCACTGGCTAGACATGTATCTTTATGCCCATCTAAATAGGAGGTCTGGTTTGCCCGAGCTCAGGCGATCTCAGGTTTCCTGTGAGCATTAGTTCTGTTCTGAGGTCAGTCTAGTTAGGGAATTTTAAGCGACCCCATAAGGGTAGAAGCACCCAAGACATGCATATCTACTATAGAACACGTGAGATTCCACGTAAATAGGAAATTAGTATCCAAAGTAATAATTATCTCATTCATCTCAGTAAGTAATCGAAGCGAAAATGACGTTTCCATATACTTTACCTGCTTATACTACATAGAATTAAAGCATCTCAGAAGCCAGAACGTTTTCAAAAAGGAAAGCAACTAACAAAACGATTTTTATATTGAAGCCCCACAACGCGAGTCCTGTTAGCCTGCTGTTTCAATCGCCAAGGCAAATATACTCCGTAGGGGTCTTTCCTCCTCGAGTTAACGCGGACATAGACCGAGTGTGGGGGCACATAGCTAAAGTGGTTTCTTTCAGGTGTTTTTTTATTTGAAGTTCCTTCTGTATTATAGCATCCACTTCATCAATCTTCTCTTCTTATTGATGGCAATTCTGCTCCACATAGACTTTAGGAGTACAGTCCTTTTCACAAAGCTTGAACGAGAAGGAACTATAAGAAAATGTTGTCTTACACTGATATTTGGAACATATTGGAAAGCTGTGGCCGACAACGTATGTTTATTACGTAAAATGATTGACGGGGCTTCCACAACCCTAAATGTTGGCGTGTGCGGGTACCTTAGTTCCTCGGATCGCTTTGTCTAGCCTTTTCTGGTATGAGAATGATTATATTACCTAGAAGGGATGTATACAATTCTAGAATTTGGTAAATACTAACGCTAACAAGGTGAGGGGAGTTGCTGGGGATCGAGTTGCTGGGGATCGAGTTGCTGGTTTATCCTTTTACAGAGATGTCGCAGAAGTGGAAGTACTTTATAGCTGAGTGGATTACCTCTTTGTCTTCACGGTAGGATGAAGTATGAGATTTGGATATTTGTGGCGTTTGATTGAATTTGGTCGATGTAGCAGTCTGAGAGATCAATCCGTGCCATTGAAGGTATATCATGTCTTGAGATGAACAAATCTAGATATTGTGACCGAAGGACTGAGACTTTGTAGTCAATAAAAGAGTTTTTACTTGCTGTGTGAGGTGATGATTGTATATGCTGGCGAACCTATTTTAAGTTTGATTTGAAGATTAATGTATCTCTACTTTGAGAGCGGTGTTAGTGTCCTTGCAGTGTTTTGCCACTGTAAGTACTCAAGTAGCTCTGCGACTGGTTGCAAGCTAATGGAAGCGGCTTAAAACTATATCTAAATTTCAAGTGAAGTATACAGGGTTCAATTTCTCGTAGTATCAGCTGCATTAGATAAGGTCTCATACTAGTGAGGTATCTCTTTTAGTGAATCCCTCTTACGATCAATGATTTGCTTATGCGATTTGGGGAAACTCATCTTGAGCACTAGCTATCGATTCCGGTACCAGCTACCCCTGGCCATAGAGTCATAGGTGCTGACAAGGTAATGCATACCTTACCTACTAACTAGTCCACACCATGACCAGTCCATGTGCAAGCTACAGTAGAGACGCTCTGATCATCGCTGATATCCATCGGTCTATCCCATGAAACCTGAAGATCCATGATCGGGCATGTTCATAGGGAGTGGAGACCATGGCACAGGCGGAAAGAGTATGCAAAGATTGCGAACACGGCCGTTGCGCTATGGCTCGTTTGATGGCAGTGCCTTTGCTGGACTGTACATAGCCTCGGTTAATAAATGTTAATGACCCATCAGAACTCTAGACATGTTCCTAAATATCTTCTGTCTACACGGTGTGCTCCTGATCGAATCATAAAAATAGATACTAGTGGGGTTTCTCTGAATCTGCATTGTTGCTTACGCGGGGGCTGTTAACCGCCCACTAACTACTAGTAACAATAGCAGGAAGCTATCCTATAAGATTGCGATGGCGGCCATAGCGCAGTGTCCAGACGACAGAAAATTGTGCGTTCAAATTATTCATAAAAGGGATGTAAAAATTAGAGGAAAGACATACTGTCCTAAGGGAGGGATTTAGGGGAGCACTGGGAAACAAATATTATAAAAACAATAGCATCCCAGGAAAAAAGTGGCTACTCTGCAGACCCCCATTTGTGCCAGAGGGTGCAGGAAGCCCGGAACATCCTGGAGGGACAGGAGAGTAGACCGCCATTTGATTGGGGGTGTCAGCTGTGGTGAAGGCGAAAAGTAAGCGGCCAAGGTCGAGACCCGCGCAAGCCGCTTAGGCATTATGTCATGTTGGTTAGCGACCGCCCCGAAAGACTGTGGCGACGTGCACCATTTGTTTACCCTTCCCCGAAAGACTGTGAGGGCGCGTGCAGCGGATAGCAATGGCCTCATGTTCTTACCTTCAGAGTAGAATGTAGAATATAGAATATTTAATAAAGAATGTTTGAACTTGGGACTGTAGTCCATTTTATGACATCCGTTAGTCAATTCAATCACAGGTTCTAGGATTGCAAAATCAACCACATTCGTTGGAGGCACTGTAGGGTAACCTCCAAATCAGGCAGAACCTTTCGTCAGTGTTGCGTGGGCTAATGCGCCTGTCCAAAGTTCGGTCGAAACCTTTCCATTTGAGTTCTGTATCTGTTACTTGTGCGTTTCCGATTTGGATTAACCGATTCGATTTTTTATCAGTCTAGCAAAAATGCTCAAGAATATACCAGAGAAAAAGCGTGGTGAGAGAAAGAAAGCAGAAAGCGCCTCAGTAGATGCGAATCAATGCCGGGCGCAGCGGGGTACAGCACAGTTAGTACTAGGAGCTCTGCTGCAGCTCTCGCGAGCCCATCCATGGAGGGGCAAAACAAAAGTACTCCAGCTCTACCCGGGACACGACAACGTGTTGGCGGGGTTCAAACAAAGGTAAACAGAAAGTAAAAACAAAAAAAAAAAAAAAATGAGAGAGAGAAGAGGAGGGAAAATGAAGAGTCATACTCTTCATATATAACATATTTTTGTTTATTTGCCCACCCAAACATGGATCGATTAATCCATCCAAGAAAAAGGTCACAACAAATACTACCAAAAATCCCGGGCTTTGTAGTGGATAGACGGGGGGTGTGTGTTGGTTACGCATTGCAAACAAAATCTGTTGGCGACCTTGGTAGTGGACAGTGAACACCGTAGGCACAGCACTAGTGGGTTTCAAGTATTCTTGGTGTGCGACCCCAGGGGAGGGGCAAACGACGAAGCCTTGCGACTTGAGTAGGCGCCCGGTACCCGGGTTAGCATATGTCGGCCTTCAGGCGGCGCAGGGGAGAGAAGAGGACCGGGACAGGCTGCAGTGCAACCGAGAGTTGGCCGGCGCTTAACGGAGGAACAAGAAGACTCAGCACCCTGCGGCCCCGGCGGTCGCAGAATCCTACGGGAGACTACTAGGAGTAGTAGTAGTAGTAGTAGTAGTAGTAGTAACGGGAGCTCTCTGGTGAAGATTGCCAGCTTGAAGCACACTAGTGAGCTCCCCGAGCCCACTGTCCTAGGGCCCCTAAGCCTAAAACAGCGACTCAGCAGCACTTCAGGCTTTCAGCGCCCTTCAGCGCCCACTATTTAGTAGGGTCTATTCCCCCCCCCTCTACCGCGACCCCGCTAGCGAAATTTTCTTTTTCTTTTTTTCCCTCTTTCTAAAACCCAATATTCTTCTCTTCTCTCTCTCTCTCTCTCTCTGTTTTTCTCCGTGCCCTTCTCACCAAAAGCAAAATTTATCCAAAATCTCTTTCTCAGTGAAGTTTCACTGTCTTTTGAATCATGTCGCGCAAAGACGACACCGTCACCGTCAACGTTGACGATTTCACTAGAACCCGCGATAGCGTAAGTCGCCCCTTGTTTACTGTCCGCCGGTCGCGCCCGACTGGGGTGTCCGGCGCAGCGCTCAGGTCTTCTCCCTGCTCATCACGCGTCCTACAACAACCACGCCCGCTTTATGGCTTACTCCTCCCCCCCTCTGTTGGAATTCCCCTTGCAACTTACATTTCATGTTTGTAAATTACCATCAAACCAACCTGGGTAGCTTCACGTCAGATCAATTCTTGACATTACCCGTAACTTGATCTCGTGCTTGCTCCGTTGTTCTTGTTTACCTTGATCGAGCTTATTTCTCTTCCCCCCCCCCTCCCCCTCCCCCCCCACACACACACTTTCACAATGGTTAAACGCGCCTCGATCCCTGATCGAGGTCAGCCATCATTGGACCTTATTACTTCTATCGCCCGCGCTATTAATTCCGTCAATGCGGCTACCTCCGGCATCCGCGCGGTGGCTTCTTTCCCACCTAGCCAAACTCAACTAACGTATGCGCAGGTGATCGTTAGTCTCGCGCAACTCCAGGCGGCCGTCTCCAAGCTGTCGGAGGCTTATATTAACCATGCGAACACCGTACTAAACCGTGGCCCGACGGTCGACATTGGGAACATCGCCAACATCACTAACTCGCTCTATGAAAGCGGCTTGCTGGGCGCCCTCGGCGGTGCTCGCGCTACTAGCCCCGGCGCAAAGTCCGAAGTGGGCGAGAAGAAGAAGCGCAAGCGCGCTCCCCCGGACCCCAATGCGCCCAAGCGCGCCTTGACCCCTTTCTTCCTTTACATGAAGCACAACCGTGCTGAGATTGGCGAGGAAATGGGTCCCAATGCCAAGCCAAAGGATGTCTCTGAAGAGGGTACTCGTCGCTGGGCTGAGATGCCCGAGGAGGAGAAGGAGGTAAGTTGTTCTCTTCCGCTGGCCCCCAACGCGTCGCGTCGCCGTGACTAACCAGCGCGGTACGTAGCACTGGAAGAAGATTTATGCGGACAATCTTGCGGTCTACAAGGAGAAGATGAAGGCCTACAAGGCTGGTCTTCCTTACAGTGATGACGCAAAGGCCGCCAACCAGCTGCAACAGGAGGCGGACCGTGCGGAAACCACCCCTGCTGAAGAAGAGGAAGAAGAAGAAGAAGAGGAAGAGGAGGAAGAGGAGGAGGAGGAGCCCGAACCAGTCCGGGAGCCTACCCCTCCACGCGCTGGCAAGCGTCGCCGCAGCGAGGCTGCTAAAGCTGCCAAGGAGGCCGCCTCTCCTGCGGATACCAAGAAGGCATCACCTGAGAAGAAGAGGACGCGCACTCCCGCTTCGAGGGAAAAGAAGGTGCAGGAGGAGACCCCCGCATCGACTCGCAAGGCGGCTGCGACGGAGAACAAGCGTGGCAAGAAGAAGCGCAAGAGCGAGGCTGCTGCTGACGAGTAAAGGTGATATTACGTGTACATCTTTGGACATTGTGGTGGTTGGATTGCTGTACAGGCATTTGGCGCATCTATGTTGTTTTTGGGAATTGAACCGTACTCAGTGGTCCCTGTAACATATCGTGCTATTTGCAGCCGGGTTACTGATTAGTAGGTGCTCTGGGGTAGGGCAGTTGGGAGTCTTTTTTCTTTACATTTTTTTTTTTTTTTTTTTACTTTTATCTATGATTTTCAGGAGCTTCGGTTTGCTTTTAGGTCAAGGTTGCTCGAAGGGAAAATGGATATCTTTCTGATTGATCTTAGCGAAAGTTAAAATGGAAGCAATTTGAATAGCAGTCCGTTTTCTTTTTCTTTAGGCGGTGACTGAAGAATGCTTTACGGGTAATGTCACTTTCTCCATCAGTTCATTTCCATGACTGTCGAGTGGATGCGATACCGGAAACAGGATTCCTAATATACCCGAATGGGGAGAGGATTCTGATTTTCCAAGGCCACGCGAGAATGCAGGATGCTTTGGCATACCCCAGACATGCAGGGGTGAGGTTGCAGTAGGGTGAGTCTAGAGTCTGGATTCCATGGAATGGTCCGTGGCTATCGATCGAACGGTTAGCCGGCACGGTTCGTGCAGGATTTCTATCGTTCCAGAAATCCTTTTCCCCCCTCCTAAAAAAAGCTGTTAGTCAAATTGATGAATGAATAGTCAATTGGGCACGGCCAACCATAGGCCGAAAGGTAACCCTTATCAGCAATGCCGGCAGCGTATCTCGGCGAAACCCCACATCAACATCCGGCCTTCGCCTTTGCCTTTGGGCTTCATTTATAAAACCCGCCCCGGAATCCCCTCGTGCATGTCGCCTCCCGGTCTCCCTGCCCTAGAGACGGTCATCGCCGTGTGAGATCACAATCCCTACACCCGTTCCAAAGAGAAACTGTGAAATACGACTGCCTTATTGGTCGCGTGCAGACTCCTCTCGGTCGCATCCGATCCAGCCTTTTTTTTTTCTTTCTTTTTATTAATTTTTTCCCTTTGTCATCCACTCCCTGTCCACTGATTGGCCTATCAGCTCCCGATCGCCTGCTGCTGGATTTTTTACAGCGCTGGTGATTCGCAGGCCAAGAGACAACGATTCAGCTCCGCTTTTAAACTACTGTCGGCGAAGATGCACCTCATTCCTAAGGAGGTACGTTCTAAACAGGGATCCGTCGGGGAGATCTAGATCTGTATAACAAAAAAAAAAAAAAAGACTATATTAAATCTGACATGGGTGGCTTCGGTAGCTCGATAAACTTGCGATCTCGCAATTGGGCTTTTTGGCCCAACGGCGTCTCGCACGTGGTGTGCGATTGAATCATGCAGAGGCAGTGGTATGTCATCGCCCCTTCAGTTGCGTATCCATCGAAGTGGACCGGCACGGAACTGACATCACCGGTTTAGGCTTTGATATCCTCGAACATACAGGAGCTCATCCGCGATGGTCTCTACTCCGTGGCCGATTTGATGTCCATCGGCAAGACCATGCTTGGTCGTCGTCATGTCTTGCCGTCCGTTGTTTCCACCCTTATAGAACTACAGGTCGAAGGCACGTTCCCGACCGGCACATACCTCGTAACGGTCCACCACCCAATCAGTAGCGACGAAGGAAACTTGGAGAAGGCTCTATACGGGAGTTTCCTTCCGATCCCCCCGGCGGACGCGTTCCCTGATCCGGATCCGAACGACTATGAGCCCGAGAAGATGCCCGGTGCTATCATCCCCGTGAAGAACGAGCGCATTACGTTGAACGAGGGACGACGAAGAATTAGGCTCAAGGTGATGAGTAAGGGCGATCGGCCAATTCAGGTGAGTGCATTCCGGTCCCTCCGCGTTGTACGGGACTCACATGATGAACGTGTAGGTTGGGTCCCACTATCATTTCATTGAAGTCAACCCGCAATTGCATTTTGATCGTCTCCGCGCGTATGGTTATCGCCTGGATATTCCTGCCGGAACATCTGTACGATTCGAACCTGGAGACACCAAGACCGTGACGCTTGTGGAGATTGCGGGCCATCGCATTATCAAGGGAGGTAACTTCATTGCCTCGGGCACGGTCGATCTGAGCAGAGTGGACGAGATCATGCTGCGTCTGCAAGCTGACGGCTTCGCTCACATTGCGGAACCCACTGCGGATGCCGCTCTCGTGGCCCCATTCACGATGGACCGAGAGGCCTACGCGCGGATGTTTGGCCCTACCACTGGTGACCTGGTTCGCTTGGGATTGACAAACCTGTGGGTCAGGGTTGAAAAGGATTATACATCTTACGGTGACGAGTGCAGTTTTGGCGGAGGCAAGACTATCCGAGATGGAATGGGCCAATCGTCAGACAAGTCCCACCAACACTGCTTAGACACGGTTATCACGAACGCGCTGATCATCGACTGGTCCGGTATCTACAAGGCCGATATTGGAATCAAGGACGGGATCATCGTCGGCATTGGCAAGGCTGGAAACCCCGATATTATGAACGGCGTGCACCCGGAAATGGTCGTCGGCGCCTCGACGGACGTGGTCGCCGGGGAGAACAAGATTATCACCGCTGGAGGGTTCGATACCCATATCCATTTCATCTGTCCTCAGCAGGTGGATGAAGCATTGGCTTCTGGAATCACTACATTCTTGGGTGGAGGAACTGGCCCCTCGACAGGTTCGAACGCGACTACGTGCACCCCGGGGCCCACCCATATGCGCCAGATGATCCAGGCTTGCGATCACCTCCCCATCAACGTGGGTATCACCGGTAAAGGAAACGACTGTGGTGGAATCAGCATTGAGGAACAAATCATAGCCGGTGCAGCGGGACTGAAGCTCCATGAAGACTGGGGTTCCACTCCTGCGGCCATTGATACCTGCCTGGATATGTGCGACAAGTACGACGTGCAGTGCATGATTCACACCGATACCCTGAATGAATCTGGTTTCGTGGAACAAACGATTGAAGCCTTCAAGAACCGCACAATTCACACCTATCACACGGAAGGAGCCGGTGGTGGCCATGCTCCTGATATTATCTCCGTCGTTGAGCACCCGAACGTTCTTCCCAGTAGCACCAACCCCACTCGTCCATTCACGATGAACACTCTCGATGAGCATCTTGACATGTTGATGGTGTGCCATCACTTGTCCAAGAACATTGCCGAGGACGTTGCGTTTGCCGAGAGTCGTATCCGTGCCGAGACCATCGCCGCCGAAGATGTCCTCCATGATCTTGGCGCCATCAGCATGATGTCCTCAGACTCGCAGGCTATGGGTCGCTGTGGCGAAGTGATCCTACGGACATGGAACACAGCGCATAAGAACAAGGAGCAGCGTGGCCCGCTAAAGGAGGACGAAGGCACAGGCGCAGACAACTTCCGAGTCAAGAGGTACATCAGCAAGTACACTATCAACCCAGCCATTGCCCAGGGCATGTCCCATATGATTGGCAGCGTGGAGGTCGGCAAGATTGCCGATTTAGTTATCTGGCACCCCAGTTCTTTCGGTACCAAGCCTACCCAAATCATGAAGAGTGGGATGATTACCGCTGCACAGATGGTAAGCATAAATTATTTCGTCTCAACATAAAACAAGACAACTAATATGCTATTCAGGGTGATCCAAATGGATCCATTCCCACTATCGAACCGATCATCATGCGTCCCATGTTCGGAGTAAGTCCCCCTCACTCCTTCTTATCCTCCCCAACAATCCCTTCTAACATGATACCCCAGGCCTATGTCCCCAGCACCTCAATCATGTTCGTCTCACAAGCCTCCATCGACGCCGGCACCGTCCAATCCTATGGAGTCAAGAAGCGTATCGAAGCCGTCAAGAACTGCCGCAACATCGGCAAAGCCGACATGAAATACAACGACACCATGCCCAAGATGCACGTCGACGCGGAAAGTTACGCCGTCGAAGCCGACGGTGTACTTTGCGACGCTCAACCCGCGACAAGCTTACCGCTTACGCAAGACTTTTTCGTTTACTAGATGATGATAAAATTCTCTTTCTCTCTGCTTTGACTTTGTATTTCTGTTTCTGCTTGTGTTGAGATACCTAGCCTGTATGCGTGCGCGTGTTTTGGCACATTTCCTTTCTTAACTTTCTCTTTGTATAGATTAGGGTATAGGTTGGTTTCTTTTGCATTTCGGAAGATGTGTGCATATTAATTAGCATGTGTTATGAATGTGTGTAATGATATCCATCTTATCAATTTATTTTATTTTAATTTTTTTTTCTAGAATCAATAACTTGGTGTTTCTTATGATTATTTGTGTATTTCAGGATACAGGACAAGAATCCTCATATCGTTGTAAACTCAACGAGTTCGGAATCATAGCTCGATCTCCTCTTCTGTGTGATTATTACCCGCCGAAACAAGTCCCATAGAGGCCCAGGCCTCGTAGCTATCCGCTTTAGCAGCTAGATACGCGGCTCTCCGTACTCGAGACGAGCTGCTGCGTCTCTTTATGGTATTGGCCATCTGGGCATCTGTTGATAAAGACGCCGCCGTCTGAACCTCTACTTGTTCTCGAGCTTCGATATACTCATCGAATGCACCATCGAAACACATATCACTGGCTGGCTCCAACGGCTGTTCTTGGGATGCAAAGGCGGAGGGGGAGAGGGAGAGTGAGTGGCTGAATTGGCTTTCTAGCTCTGGATCTGGATCTTCGATGTTGTGGTCTGTGATATCAACGTTGACGTTGATGTCGGGGCCATCGTTAGATTGCTCAACGATGTGGTGCGATGTCTCTTCTTCTGCAATGATCTTCCTCTGATACTCGGGGTCCTTGTCTTCTTCGGTAGACCATGAAGAGGGGAGAGAACCAAGGTGGAATGGAGTTTGGTCACAGCGAGCGTTATTCAGGAAGTGCCATGCTTGGCGGGTCTCGTTTCGTCTGGCTTTTTCTGCTGCTCGGGTTGATTCTTCGGTGGGGAGCCGTGAGTCTACTGCTTGGTTGTTGTCTTGGATAGTCTCTAGGGATGATGGCATAAGGATGCGGCCTGAAGATGAATGTGATGATGAGAATATACTTGATTTTACAGGGTGGGGTTTGAAGAGTCCTAGTTGCGGCTGTGCGCTAGTTGTGTCTGGTTGTGAATTGGTGTGATCTGGCGCTCTTCCATCTGAGCTTGTATCGTCGTCGGGGTCTCCAGTAGTGAAATCCATTGTGGCTCTGGGTATGCTGTCGGGATTACTTGATTGTGACGCGGGTTCTTCGTAGCGAGCTCGTTTCCTTGAGCGAAGGCCTTCGTCATTTTCCAGCATATCTCGCATGTGATGGTCGTGAGTGAATTCCGCTCCTGAGCACAGATGGCCGAAGAGACTTTGCATGGAGACGTCCTCATCCCATGTTAGAGGGTCAACTGTACAAGGACATATGTCTTTTGGTTTGAATGCGGAGACCAGCTCGCATAATTCTGCGTAGGATGAGTGGCGCGAATATGGAAAGCGCTACCACATGTTAGAGCATATTCGATTCATTTTATGCAAAGCCCACTTACAATAACTGCTGGGAGCCGTTTTCCTAACCTATCATGTTGTCCTGTTGATCCCTGGTTGTTATCCGACCAACTTTTGTCGTGGAAACGGCCCCGGCTGATGATGTTAGCTAGGTTTTCTAAGGGTATATCATGATCATCTTTTATCCCATAGCTATGAAGCTGGAGTGCTTTCCTTCTGGACCTGTATGCCTCGATGAGCGCCTCTCGCGTCTCCGAGAGTGTTTGAGGATCGTGGATGCTTTCGAGACAGAGTTTCTCTAGCTGCTCTAGTGCCAGCTCGTTCGGGATCTCGAGCTCATGAATCTGATACAGGTCACCACCTCCGCCTCCAGCCCCAACTTCGGGTATTTCTGAGCCATCATTCGTTCGACTAACAATCGGGATTATATAAACCGGGTTCTTCGAAGAAATGGCCGAGCATTGTACGCCTGGCTCACAGCTATGGATGCGACACCCTCCGTCTTCACTCAAACAGCCAGGAACAAATCTATTCCCGAGCTCAAAGCCACAAAGGGCAGATGCTTCGCCGGTCCCCTGTTGAGTGGGGATGAGCGACCTATACAGACCTATTTGGTACCGATCCACATGGACCTGTTCTGTTGGCATAAAATCACAGGATTGAGGACGTAGCACATGTATACCTTTGAATTGAGAGCAGCAGACAGTGCCATCCAGACCTCCTCATATCCGAAAGTCCATGCTCGGAAGTAGAAGATAGTGTCCTCTGGATAGGATGCGACTTTCTGCAGAAGTTCTGCCAATCCTTTTGCCTTGGATGGGAATGTACGGTATATAGACGAATGGCGGGCAAATGTACTGTCGAGATAGATCTTATCCAATGGCTTTCCACCTAAAGTGTAGGGTATGAGAATTGGATGTCGGATAAGGCTATTGACCCACCAAGACTCCGCTGTTCTTTGTCAGAGCTATGGGATCATCGACTGGGGGCTTTGTGAGGATACATACCACGAATGTCGCCGGTGTAGAGAATGGATTTTCCACTACCTTCGATGAGAAACATCACCGCACCTGTACAGTGATTGGCGTCTAGCAGGGTAACTCGAATGGATAGCCGAGGGGTAAGTTCGATCTCCGTCGGCGTGTTTAGAGGGATCGGCCGCTATCTGATATTAGTAGGGAGAAGAGAGTATCATGGCGAGATCGGTTACTAAAAGTTTGGATAGATGTTTGTAATGCAACTTCCGGGATTCAAGGATGCCTTTACTGAAATTCATGCGGTGAGGATATTTCTCGATGTGTAAGAGTAGCTATGGAATGAAATTAGTACCCCATGTGTCCAGGGTAGGGGTAGGGGTGAAATGATGGATCAATACCTCTCTAGTTGCTGCCGAACAGTAGATGAATGGGGCTCGGAAGGACTCCAAGCCCTGGAGATGATCACTGTGGACATGGCTAAGAAAGCCGGCCAGTGGAGGAGACCTCTCTGGGGTTTTGCGAAAGTAGTCAACTTTGTCTTTTAGTAGCTATGGCCTTTTACATTGTTCGGTAGTGTTGCTCACTCTGAATATATGGAAATTCTACTCGGATTATTAGGTTTTTATAAATGAATCTGAAGCAATTGATCATCCACACGTACCTTGGACGATCCCGTCAAAGGTAGACATTGGGGAATATTACAATTGAAAGAGTATATATTAAGTCATCCTAGTAATTGAAGTTGGTACTTTCGGAGTGGACGGGGAAACCAGTAGTAGTTCGTGAAAGAAGAACATGCGATACTACTAAGCAGCAGATGATGATGATAAGGCTAGCCGCCTGTTATCCTGAGGTGTCGAATGCGGAGGGAGACTGGTATAACAAGTGCCGGGTAGGCCCTAAATTCCCCCAATGGAGGATCGGATTTCGTAGACCGATTCTTGGGGAAATCTTACCGCTTCTTCATGCTTCATAGTGAGCCAATGAGAGAGAAGATAACAAGATGATTTGCTACGATTTGCTAAGTTGATCTCTTCTACTTCTTTTCCTAATGGGTCACTTTCGTTCTTCTCCGCTAATCGAAGCGGTGACTTAGTAATGACAATCCTATTTTCTTTTCTTTTTTCTCTGACAGTTTTGGAACAACTGCAACGACCCCAGCTACTACCAAGACAGTACTCCCTGTCCAGTGTCTAGACCTTCCTATCAATAGCCCTTTTCGCCTCTTCGCCCCGTTAAGACTCTTCCATTCAAGTACCTACATGGGCCCCTGCCTGAAACCTAGACCACCGGAGTCGGATCGTCGACCAAGTGGCCTTGCAGGCGACCAGCGCGAGGCGAGAGTGGATGAGAGACCCGCTCGCCAACACAGTCTTTTGTTCAGGGCTTTTATGGACGGAGAAGCGTTATTCTGTTGTCCCGGAATTAAAGTTGGCTAACTCACTCACAGTCGCTAGTCAAGAATACTCCACGCAATTGTTCCTTATGCGCTGTTCCATGCATGCATGACGGTGTTGTCAGCAGACATCATGATTGTTCATTTTCAGATGAAAATTCTCATATATAATAGACACGTCGCTCCGTTTTGGGGAGTTTTTTTTTTTCTTCTAATTTGTCTCCTACAGTTTCAACTACTACTATAGTAATTCATAATTTTCAATCACTCGTCTGTCAGCTGCATTTGATTGACATCCTCCTCGTCCTACTAAGTACCGTCATGGGTATTTCTGTCTTCTAGTTCAGGAGACGGAAATTTTCCTTTTTCTTTATTTTTCTTTATTTATTTATTTATTTTTTTTTTCCTTTTAGCTTTGGGTCGCCACTTGTGCCTGAGGCCAAAGCTTCGTGGAGAAGTTTCACATTATCCTGTCCCAGGGGCTACGAAGGTCCTTTCATTTGTGAAGGAGAAGATAATAATAATAAAGAAAAAAATTGAAAAACAACAAAAAGAGGAGAGGAAAGGAAAGGAAAGACGGCTACCGACATACATCATACCTCTAAGGCATTCATCGTCTGATTCTGAGTCTGATTCTTCCCACCCGATAACCATTGCCATCACCCAATCTATAAGCAAGAAGTGAACTATTGACACATCACCTACCACTACTGCACGGTTGTATGCGTTGGACATCCCCCCATTGATCTCTACGCTTGCTCATTGGAAGATCCCGTATTTGTTGTGTCTGGCCGAGGTTCTCCTGACGACGCGAATCAGCCAGCTGAAACTCTAGTGAGATCTGGTATTCTAGATCGCTATTTGTCCGTCATTTTCCTACTATTGAATTGGCGATCCCCATCTCGCTCCCTTCCGCAAACAGGGCAGTTGGGAATCTGGAATTTGTTATTTCACTTGCTCTTCCCGTTTCTATTCCTTTTTCTCCTAAATATAGCAGGCGGTTCTAAATCCCTGTCAACTGGGACTTTTTCTTGTTTATCTTCTTGTGGAAGTTACCAACAACCCTTGAAGCCGTGCCTCTCACCCGATCCCCGACCCTCTTATCCCAACCCTTGAACTTCTATCGGACATCTGATACGGTTTAATCACCAACTACTTCTGTCGCATACTCTTCCTACGCAATATCGTACAGTTTGACGTCCCTTCACCATGCACAAACCTTCCCTGGCTCAGATTGTGCACAATGCAACCTTTCCGCGCCCGCGCACGAGCGATCCAGCGACATTCTCCGCTCATATCACCCGTAACCTCGTCCCCGAAGTTCGGATCGAAACCTCGACTTTCTATGGATCGCTAGACACCGTTGAAGCTCAATATCCTGGCCTTGATTATTCCTATGGTCCACATCGCATGCGGCTGAGTCGGTTTCCTTGGCATCGCCGACTTTTTAGAGTCTTTGACGAGCTCGGTTTAACGGAGGCCGAGATATCTTCGCTGTGTCGCTGGGAAGGTACCAAGTCGGCACGGGAGCGGTATGAGAAAGAAGAGGGTATCAAGGTACAAGATACGACGGCCAATGGTGTCCGACCAGCGTCGCCATCCCCGCTGCCTTCAATCCAAGTTCATTTTGAAGATGGTCCAGAACGGGTGCGAGAACCAGAGGTCAAGGCCGAAGCACGCGAGCACTTCGTTCCTGTGACTGACACCATTGATGACCGCGGTGTCGACTGTGATGTACCTCGGAAGGTTGAAGAAGACTCGAGCGACGAGGAAATGGAAAGCTGTGGCGTGGAACTGAATCATCGTCTCCTTGCAGCAAGTGCCGCCCGCGCACGAGGCGCCAATGTTCCGCTAGACGAGGACTGGGAGCAATGGCTGAAGGAAGCTGGCGAGCGAGGAAGTTACGCCGACGTGATCAATGCGATTCGAAGAGGCCAACCGTTGGATTTCTTGTATGACATGCCATACCTTAGTAGTAGGACAGGCGCTAGACGATCCGTGTCGCTCTCAGAACGTATCATCCTTCCGCCAACGTCCAGCTTGCTTGCAGCGAGCACTTCGATTCGACGCCCTCCTCATTCTCCATCCGGAACCGCACGATAAGACCCACCCGGAATGAGGCTCAGTTCGATTTCTTTCTTTGCGTATCCTTGCAGTTTTTCAAGTTTTAGCAGGCAGGCATGTTTTCCATCTAGGTGCATTTATGGCGCATCAGCGGCGGTTTCTTCTCTCTTGTCCCCATCTACACAGGGCGTAATACTCTGTTCGATCGTTACTGTGGACCGCGATTAGGCTTCTTTCTCTCACTTTTCCCGACCGCTGATTGTTATAGATTTCCTTGCGTTTAGCCCTCCCGTCGATTCCTCTAATACCCCTCCTGTCTATGTCGTATCTCATTACAGCATTGCATAAAATGGCCATTGGTATTCTTCGTCCAGAAAGTGACTTCGCCGAGATACATTCATATCCGTAGTTCTGCCTTCAAACAGCCCGTTGCGTCCTATCTCCTTTTCGGTCATTTGGTCTCTTCAGGGTCTCCTGGCTGATAACAACAATCTGACGGTCCATTTCCGGTTCACTCGCACTCGGAAACTACTCCGGTACGATATATATAACCAAGTTCACCCTCCTCTGGGATGACTAAGTTGTTCAGCAGGATAGGATAACTATGGCTCCTTGAGTGACAGCTGCCAGGCACAGGGAGACTGGCGATTGGCTCCGCTTAGGTACATTATGTTACCTACCTCCTTGTATAGGAATAATGACTAGCTAATGAAGCCTAGTTTTGGTGTCATTATGTTCCCTTATTACACCTGTAGATCTAGGTCGCACGAGGATTTCCCCGTTATAGTATAGATCTAGATTGCCCGTGATAAAGTGGGCGTTAACTCTGTCACGGGGTATTGGAGCTCCTTCAAGTCTCCACTCCTTGGTAGTTAGAGCTCCCCGCGATAATCCCTCTCCACCTCCTTCACACCGACAACATCACCTTGATTCTTTGCGCCGGTAACAGAGAATGTGCTTATGCTATGATGCAATTACACCCTTAAAATGATGCTATCAGGCTTACTATAGCACTTGCGACCAACCCCCCCCCCCCACCTTCTTTCCCACTCGTCACCTCTACAACCACCATGATCAAAGCGATCTTCTACAGCAAGTTCGACACCCAGGAGGGTAAGCAAATCTTTCAACCTCACTTAGCTTTCAAGCAAGGCAGTCAATTGATCGCTACAATTTTTAGGACCTAAGGTCGTCCACCAAGTTCCTGATGGCGCGATAGTTCCCTCAGCGACCGCTCCGTCGCAGCCCCTCTTCCTGACCTTTTCAGACATCTCCTTCTTCGTGATTCCCCGTCAGGAGCTATGCGGAAACTTGATGCAGGTTTGCACAAACGGATACCGGATACTTGGTTACCCGATCTGCATGAAATCTCTCCGATATGACCGCAACGAATTCATCTTTAATTTTTGCATCGTGCTGGCGGAGGAAGAAGATTTTAGCACGTACAAGAGTGTGGTCCAGAAACTTGCGGACCTGATGCATGGGTTGGAGGAGCAAGGCCAATTCCTATCCAGGGATCACTCAAAAAGTGGCGAGGGGAAAGTTTATAGCTTGTGTGAGACATTGATGGAGGATCTAAATAACTATTGCGAATGCATGATTCCTATCGGTACGCGCCTTACTACAGAGGGGGAGGAGATGAAAGGAGGCCAAATTGCTGACTTGAATGATACAGACGAATTAAATACGTTGAATATCAAGCTATTCCCTATCTACCCCTCTCCTCCGTCTGTCAAAGCCTGGCACGTCCCCTTGTTCACTGTTCGATACCAAACCTTCATGGATGAGAATTGGGATCTCACAATGCAACGAGTATGCCTCCCACAACATTAAGATGGCTCTGGCACAGGTTTAACATGATGCAGATCGTCCCTCATATCAACGGCGTCAACAGTATCCGCATAATCTCCATCCTTGCTGACACAGACTTCTCTCTCACCTGCCGCGCAATCCGGCACTTGCTCTACTACAATTGTCTCTTCCTCCTCGACATCTTTTCATTCTCTGCAATTTACGCCCCCACAGCTCAATTTAGCTCCATGATTGCGTCAAATGAGAACATGCAGCGAGAATGCGCACGCTATGTCAACACACTCTTTGCATCCCCTGCTGCCGCATCAACCTTCACGAACCCTACCCGAAGCTACGACCCAGACGCTGTATGGCCGCCCCTCGGTGAAATCGTCACAGGCACTACTGCCAGCGTCGATATAGCCAGCAGCAATGGAAGTGTTAGTCCCGGGAGCCCTAGTCCAGATCCTACCATCACAGCGCCAGGTAGCACGGCCGCGACAATAGAGGACCAACCGGAAAGAGAGGTAGTTGACGGAGTCGGATTAGTCGAGCTTTACGCCAGCCTCAAACAAGGCCAAAGCGTCAAGCAATGGTATATGCACCATAGCCGACAACTAGCTCATATCGACATTCGTCGCTTCATCACGTTTGGCATCATCAAAGGGTTCCTATACCGTGTGCACAAATACGCTTACGCGACAGGATGCCCTGCTCCACCCTCGAAATATCACCATCACCACCATTATCACACTCACTCCGGTCCATCATCTAGAGGCCCTGGGACAGGGACCAATAGTCCCTATGCCTCAAGTGTGGGGGATGATTCGGCACCCATCGCCGCGCACCAACATGATGGACCTTCGACCTCCGTGCACAGCGGAAGTCGTCCAGGAACAGTGATCGAAGATGAGGACGACGAAGACTACATCGACGATAAGACTATGTCCAAATACCTCGATGGAATGCATTGCTTTGATCAAATATGCACTGAACTGGAAATTAGCGAAAAGGAGTTTACCGCTAGATTGAAGCGGTATCCCGGGGAGGTGTTAATCATACACCGATGACCTTTCTCCGGTTAAACCTATCTGTTTCTTTACTAGGATTTAATGATACCCAATAAATGAATGCCTTGGATTGAAGAACATCGTTGATATTTAAATCTTCGTTACTATTGAGCACATCTGAGATGAACGTGTACCCTCCTTCTAGTGTAAACCCCAACGCCAAACACATAAAGCCCTCATAATCGACGCTCAAATCAAACCTACGACTTTAATGATACCCAATTCCCGGTTTGGATCACCATGCAAAGCAAACGTACCCGAAATTAGAAAGGGCATCTGAAATGTACATAGAAAATTTAAAATAAAAAATAAACACAGTATAGGGTTAGTTGCATGAGGAGCAAGCGAAGAAACCAGATCACTCCTGCTCCTCATCCCAACCTTCAACTTCTGCCTTCTCGTACTCAGACATGAGCGACGGGTCAAAGACCGACTCATTATTCCTCGGCACAGAAGTCTTGCAATCTTTGAAAATCGGTCCGATACAGTCACGCCAGCGCTTGCGTCGGTCCATGAGAGTACGAGCGACGTCGCCGATGGCGGGACGGCTCACACCAGCGGCACTAACAACGTGGCTGCCGCCGCCGGCTCCGCCTGGCCTGTGCTTAGCCTGGGAACCTTTCTTGCTCTTCCCTAATGTCCGGGTACGCTTGAGATAGGCCTGTTGTACCTGTGAGTCCAGATCATCGTGGATGGTCATGTACTCCTGGTACGCCATGCGTTCACGGGCAATTTCTAGGAGTCTTGCTTTTCGGGCACTGTTGACGATCATCTGCTTCTTTAGTTCGCTTTGCAGAAGACGTAGTCGCTGAGCGATGTCGTCGTCATAATGAGCGTCGTAATCAGGATTGTCCTCGGCGCCTAGGAAGCCGACGTGACGGAGTTCTGCTTTGAGGCGCTCATCGAGTTGAGCGTGGTCCAGCTTCGCGGCAGGCACTTTGAAGCCGCTTGGGGATGCATCGGGGAATGATGTCGCGGAAGATTGTGGTTTGCTTTCTGGGTCACCTCCAATGGGGTGGTCGAGGTCCATTGCGTCGCCGAGTGAAGAACCGTTCGGTAATTCCCCGTTGACTGTGCCGTTGGTGCCAGGGTTTTCGTCGGGAGCGCGGTGTTCGTATCGTAGGAGAGAATAAAGCCGGCTAACTAATGGACCAACCGAGACCTTGTCAGTTTCCATAGTCTCGTCTGTCACCTGATCGATGTTTCCACGTCCCTGGTTCAAGGGCAGACGTTCCTTGTTGCCGTTCTGGTCAACATTCATCAGCCCATCCTCGTCGGCCCAGATCTCATTGTAGTGTCTCTTCCCACGTCGAGGCATGATGAACGGTGTCGCTCGATCGCCCTGTGCCAGTTAGCTACAAGGCGTTTTTGGCAACAACTAAGGGAACAAACCTTCTCTTTGAGGAAAGCAATGTCTTCCTCCATCAACGGGCGGACATATGGTTCAACGTAGGCGAGGAATGTATTCGCGCTGACCTGGTTTGTAGGCTTGGCGTTGCTGTAGTCTTTATCTGGAGCTATCCCAGCCATCATGTGACTTAAATCACTGGCCGGAAAACGAGTGACGCTGTAGATTTCTTTCCTTTCGTCATCGGTCATGTCAGGAGTGACATCGCGTATATGGTATATAGTCGGATCGTCAAATTTCACGGGATTTGGACCAAAGACTTGGATTTGTGGCACAGCTGGAGCTGGCTCAGGCTGATGCGAATCTGAGCTATCGTCCGACATGGGTGATCCGGGAGCTTGAGCTTCTATATCAGCCTTCACTTTGGGGGAATTGGGTTCCGGCGGCGACAGTGACGAAGTACTCTTCGACTTTTTAGATATAGGCGATGCAGCTAAAGCAATTAAATATTAGCCTGTGACTGCAACATAGCGGTGCCATAAATCGGAAGGGACTCGGCCTGTGAGCGACGGGGCTGGACTGCAGTTAAGGTGAATGTGAGGAGTGTCAACTTACCACCCTCCACTTTGGTTTCCGCACCATCTTGTCGAGAAAGTTCATGAGCTCCATGAGCTAACGGGCGATCTTCCTTTGAACTGCTGCCCCGTTCTTTGCGCTTCTTTAATTTCCCTCCCTTGGGCGCTTTCGATTCCTCCTCTTCGTCATCAGCCTCACGCTTCATTTTCGGGCGGTCACCATCGTGCTCGGGCTCCTCCACTACCTCCTTTCGCTTTTGAGACAGCTCTCTGATGCCAGCATCGCATGCATCGCTACGAGCTTCTGCCAGCTGACTGAGTGTCTTCAGATGCTCCATCAATGTCTCTAGGGACTTCGAGTCCGGAATAGGTCCAACGCCGCCCATCCGATCCAGGATCTCTCCATATTGCGCGGTAACTGGCACGAGCAGTTTCGATACATCATTGTCGAGGTAGCTGGATACAGGGGCGGCGGTCGGGGCACTGAAACTCGAGTTGGGTGTGGTGTTTCGGCTTCGAGAGGGGCGCGCTTCACGGCCTTTGCCTTTGCCTTTGCTTGCGGAGGGCATGATGTGATGATGACCCGAAAAGGTGTCTAAACTTCAGAAGTGGGTTGTGTAGCTGTATGTTTGTTTTGGATGGGTTTAATATCCCATAGTATTGGAATTCCGGGAGGGGTCTGACGTATAGTTCGTTCGATTTATAGGGTTTATGGAGTGCGCTTCGTTAAATGGTCGCAGTCCATGAAGATAAGCCCTGCAATAGGCTCTGACCGTGTTCTCTTCTGTACTCCATCATCATCGGGATATCGCGATGTTTCCCCAGACTTGGCACGTGAGGTCACATGAATACACGTGATTAGATAATCGATGATCTTGATCAGCGATGGCCAAAAATAGCAAGCGATTGGCAAGTGGAGACTCAAAATACTAAACTGAAATACTACTGTTTATCTGCCAATGCTGCCAGTATTACCAAGAGTTGGCCCGTGTTACATCTATGGGTATCATGACTAGACGATTCATAGTCCCTCCTGCAAAATCAAAGCCACCAATAATGCAAGGCAGGTGGCTCTGTTCGCCCTATGCCGCTCGCTAGGGATGCACATACATACTACTGGGATGGATGGCCGCATTCTTATCTATTCTACGAGATAGGTTTCTTCACTGGTCAACATTCCAGGTGGCGAGGTGCGTTACTTCCATTTTTTTGTCTCTCTTGTACCTTTTTTTGTTGTGGGTATGTGTATGGCTCGTCACACTGACGGCGGAGATATCCGAAAACGTCATGCGGTCCAACTGCGAACGGCAACCCGAAGGCCGTGGCATGGAGAAAAGACCGGGTTCAACAGGACCCAAGGGAGGAACACAACCTCTATACAAGGACAGGGAGAAAAATTTTTCTCTTCACCGCAACCACTTTACATGGTGTGTCAGCAGTGGAAGCGACCATCACGGCCAACCATGCGACCTGTCAGACATTCCGCTTGAAACCATCGAATTCAATCCTTACATTCCTGATTTGGCCGCAATACTTTAGATCTTGCCTCGACCGCGCAACTCAATCAAGATGTTTTGTTTGTTTCATCTCTAAGCCGCAGTTTTTTCTGTTGTAAGGCAGTTCTTGTTGCTTCGCCATGTGTATGGTCCATATGATTGTTACTTTCAAAAGCGCTGTGCCATTGTCTTCGACACCGTTGATTGGAACTGAATCCACCTTCCGCAGTATATGCGAGAAACAAAACACCAACAATGTCCCCGCCTGCTGCTGCGAAATCTCTCACCACGGCTGCCACACTCTTTCCAGGTCCAGGGAGAGCGACGAACACTACTCCGTCGGCCAACGTACGTCTCAAGAATCTCCACATGTTGTCTGAAAGGAAATTCTTACATTGAACGACAGGACAGCGCGAGCTTCCGTTTCGTAGTGGATGGTACGGTTCAGACACTGTCCTCCCAGGATACTCCAGGAAATGCCCCAATACGAGGGCTCTTGTTCGTTCCTAGTCTCGATGTTGAGGATTCATGCAACAATCTCACCGCTCCATTCATACCCACCCATGTCACCCGCCATCCCGACGTGGATAGATTCAGGTTTCAGACCATTGGCCTTGCGCCGTGGGTGAACGCTGAGTGTGCTGAGTCCTTCATCGACGCCTCGCAGCGTGTAGGTTCCGATGCGCTGGTATTCTTCTTGCCTGGGAGCAACAATACCAAACCGCCACCAAATGAAGATCCGACGTGGTCATTGAGAGACGGTGAGGATTGGAAGAACCCAAATATCCTCCCCGTGTATGCGATCCCTGGTCCGGCGGGTGTGACCCTCATGAATCAGCTGGCGTGGTATCCGGGGAACACAAGCTATGCGCACAATGGTCACAATGCTTCCGCATCCGTGACAGGTCAGCCCGACATACGGCTGCTGAGCCTTATTGATTTTGGTAGGATTAAGAATTCGGTTATTCATCCATGACGAATGCTAACAGGTGGTCCATAGAAAGGGCTCAAGGCAAAATGCCCAGTCTCTGGGGGTTCATTCTTGCCATCCTAGGGACAATATTGGTTCTCAGCATGACTGTTCTACTTTGCTATCAATTGGTACAGAAGAGGCGCCGGGAGAGGCTGCAGCAGAGGATTGAGTCTGGAGAGGCAGACATGGAGATGTTGGGTTTGCACCTCATGAAAGTCCCACAGGAGATCTTAGATACACTGCCAATATACACATATCCGGATTGGAGCGCTTTGGGTGACACTCCTGAGCCCAACAACAAGAGTTCTTTACGATCCAAGGAACTCCAAGAATGCACGGAGAAAAAGGAGGGAACAGACACAAGCCCCGACGCCATTACAGCGACCGAGGTACGGGATGACAAGAAAGAAAGCCAAGAAAAAGAAGAGTCCGGCGACGAACACTCGCCGGGCGACGCCGACAGCTCCCCCAGCGCGCCGTCCTGTTCGTCGTCAATTAATACCTGTGCCAAAGGCCGCCCTCCCAAGCTTAAGAGACTGAGCCACTCGCAAACCACATGTGCCATCTGTCTCGAGGACTTCATCCCGCATGAGTCTACTGTCCGCGAACTCACCTGCGGTCATATCTTCCACGTCGAGTGCATCGATGCGTCGCTGACGCGGAATAGCTGTCTATGTCCGATGTGCAAGAAGAGTGTTTTGCCGCCAGGGTATTACCCGACGCCTATCACCAATAGAGTAGTTCATCGCGATTTCATGATGCGGAGGGCGAATTCGGCTTGAGTTGGTTTTTGTTCAGGGGTTGGTTTCTGTGGCTGTATTTGATGGATAAACGTTATGATACCCTGCATGTTTGGCTCTTTGTTTTCTTGGTATAGGTCATATATAATACATAGATCTCCAGCTTTTAGTTTTGGGTCTTGAGGTTTTTATCTTCTCTTAAACATTCTTCTTTTTAGTAGAACAAATAATAGCATTGGAATCAGGAAAAGGATCCGGGCTATTCTCTATTATGCTACAAGTGATGAATCTAATATTGGTTATCGTTCTCTTGTACGGGGCATAGAGAATAGTTAGCCATAGTCGAGCAAGGATAAAGATGCGCTTTGTATAGAATACACTCAAATCCCACAGATAATAAGAAAAGAGTCGCCATGTACTATCTAATCGACTCGACAGCTCAATGTAGTATTCAAAATATGCAATAGGGTATACTTCGTACACCCCTCCAGAATTTACCAACTCCGTCTACGTCACTCCACGCGCTTATCGATAAGATAAAATAAATAAATCTTCTCCACCAAAACGCACTCCTTTCACCTCCTCCAACTACCCAAAACACGACCACCTCCAAACCTCCTCCCCTCAACTCCTCTTCTTCCTTCCTCTCTCCTCCATCCTCCCAAATAATAGAACCAGAAATAAAGAGATACAAGAAAAAAAAAATGGTAAAACCACTAACCTTCAAGGGCGACAAGCCCAAAAAGGCCAAAAAGCGCAGCGCGCCCTACCCACCGAGCAAACCAACTACCACCACCACGAAACCCACGCAAGAAGAAACCGCCGAGCAAGAATCCACAGCCGAAGACCAAAGCTGGGTATCAGCGGACGCGCCCTCGGACATTGCGGGACCCGTCATCATCGTTCTCCCCTCAGACCCTCCGACCTGCATAGCCAGCGACGCCAATGGGAAGGTCTTCGCGAGTGAGATAGAGAATCTGATTGAGGGGGATCCGGGCACGGCAGAGCCGCATGATGTTAGGCAGGTTTGGGTTGCGACTAAGGTTGCGGGCACGGAGGGGATTAGCTTTAAGGGGCAGCATGGGAAGTATGTTTTCCTTTCTTTTGTTTTTTTCCTTTTTTTCATTTTCTTTATTTTGTTTTGGGAGGTTGTTGTTGTTATTGTTATTGTTATTGTTATTGTTGTTGTTGTTGTTGGTTTTTGTGTGTTGTTGTCTTATCCCGTTTTGAGGGGGGAATGAAGGAAAGGTTGGCTAATGTCTGAGATTAGGTATTTGGGCTGCGACAATTATGGAATCCTGAGTGCCGCGTCATCGGCTATTTCGCATCAGGAATCGTTTGTTGTTATTCCGTCCGAGGTGCCTGGGTCGTTCTGTCTGCAGACTGGTGGTGGTGATAAGGAGACATTTGTTTCTGTTACGGAGGGGAAGTCGAGTAAGGCGGCGAGTGGGAGTGTGGTTGAGGTTCGGGGTGATGCGACGAGTCTCTCGTTTGAGACGACGATGAGGATTCGCATGCAAGCGCGGTTCAAGCCGCGGATTAAGGCCAGTAAGGAGACAAAGGCGAAGGAGAAAATTAGTCGGAAGGAGTTGGAGGAGATTGTCGGGCGAAGACTGGATGATGATGAGGTGAGGAGGTTGAAGAAGGCGAGGAAGGAAGGGAATTTTCATGAGGAGGTGCTGGATGTTAGGGTTAGGGGGAAGCATGATAAGTTTGCTTGAGTTGGTTTCGTTTTTTCCTTTTCATGCTGTTGTTTCTTTGGGGTTATGCATGGTACCATGTCAACAGTTGAGCCTTTACGTGGGAGCCTTTACGTGGGATATTTCTTAGGTTTGGTTTGCCTGTGCAAGCTGGCTTGTCTGTACTACTAATTTCTGTTTGTTACAATATATGGAGCTTTGCGTTCTTTCATGTACCATATAGGGTTGAGGTGGATAGATCATATATGTGGTGATCGTGTACCAATTAATGTGTTATCAGGCTCTAAGATGGAACTCAGATGTTCACTTGGTTATCGACCATACTAAACCGCGACGATCAGGCCCGGGTGATGGGTAAATAACGTCATGATAAGGTCAGTACCTTGGGGGTTGCCCTCAGGGTCCTCAACCCACTACCATTTAAGATGGAAAGCCCCGTACATCACATATAACCATTCATTACTCATAAATCGGTGGTATCTATATATACAAGAATCTAGTCAAAAGTGATAGCCGCCTTGATAGCAGACTTGTTCCTCATCGACTCCAAGCACTGCTCCCACTCTTCAAGCTTGAACACCTTGTTCACGATGCCCTTGACCTTCACCTTGCCGGAGTCAAGGTAGTCAATGGCAGCGGGGAACTTGTAGGTCTCGGAGAAACTTCCGAGGATAGTGATCTCGTCGCCGACTACACCCAGTATTAGTCGTTGCTCACTGCATAAGTGGAAGGAATACTTACAGATCTTGCTAGGAGGCCAGGAAACGCGGGCCTCGTTGTTGTACACACCGTACACGACAAGCTTACCGCCACGGCGGACATAGTTGATGGAGTCCTCGAGGATCTTGACACTGCCAGTGGCTTCCACGACAATGTCGAAACCGTAGGGGTTCTCCTTCTTCAGCTTCTCGAACTGCGCGCTGGGGTCCTGACGGGACAGAGCGACATATTCATCACCAGCTTCGAGGGACTTGGCCAGGTCCATCTTCAGACCTTCGGGAGCGGCCACAACAACACGGCATCCACCGCACTGGCGGAGCAACTGAGCGAGGATCTGTTGCATGTTAGATGTGGAACAGTCTCTCGGATATAAATCAACTTACAAGGCCGGTGGGACCAGCACCGAATAATAGGACGGAAGAGCCCATCTTAGGAGCGATCTTGTCCAAGCCGTGAGCGGCGCACGAGGCGGGCTCGAGAAGGGTGGCATCGACATCAGAGAGGTTCTTGATCTTGAATACCCTGCCAGCTACAGAGAGTCAGCGATGACATGGCAGTTGTTCCAAGGTTCTGCCACTACCTACCAGGATAGGCGCAGTACTCGGCAAAGCCACCGTTCATGGTGACACCGTGAGCCTCGAAGTGCTCACAGAACAACTCGTCTCCACGGCGGCAGTAGAAGCATTCGCCACATAGTTCCGAGTTGTCGGCGACGACCCGCTCACCGACTTCGAAGCCTTTGACCTTAGGGCCAACAGCCGCGACGACACCAACAGTTTCGTGACCTGACCACCCATATCAGTATATTTGTATACCACGACGGGACATGGCGACGTGAAGTCCTTGACATACCAGGAACCAAGGGAAACTAGCACAGGATCAGCAAAGGCTCAATGAATTAAACGTTGGGTGGACAGCTAGGAATCATACCTTGGCAATGAATTGACCCTCGTGGATGTGCAGGTCAGTACCACAAACACCGCAAGCCTTGACCTTGACCTATAGCAATCCGTCAACAAACTATTTTGCACGACCAGCCGTATGACTACCAAAAACAACTCGCACATACCAAGACATCATTGTCACGGAGCTTAGGAAGGGGAACGTCAACAACGGCATGCTTCTCAGGCTGCTCATATCTGATATGGATGATTAGCATTGGCCAATTGGTCGTGCGAGGACACTAGGGGTCAGTCGTTACCTGAGAGCCTTCATGGTCTGAGGAAGAGACATGGTGGATGATTGTCGTTCTGGAGAGAGTCAGCGATAGCCTGTTGTATGGCCGATTAATTGCCAAGGGAGGGGGCTCTTACAAGGATATCGAAGAGGGAGAGAGACAGGTAAGGAAGGGGAGTGTTCAGGTTAAGGATATGATGATTGATTGACTGAAGATGAGAATGAAGAAAGAAAAGCGAGAGGAGAGGAGGGAAAGAGAGGGAAAGAGGAGATATTTGAATGTATCGCTGGAGCCGTGAGGATAGAGGGGAACTGAGGGGAATGAAGTCAGTTTCACCGAGGAGGTACGAGTCCAAACACCTGTTACTATCCAGTACACACAGTACGTACTATACTTCTTACCTACTACCAGGTTCACTGTCCTCCGGTCCATTCGGCCAATCCCGGTGGGATCTCAACGAGTGGGTCCCATCAGTTGACTGTTTCTCAAACGTCAGAAAGCGCTGGAAGATGCGCCTAATTCGGTCCTAGTCGTATCGATGCCTTATTTCTAACCACCTGTTTGGTCAAAGTATTCCATTAATACCGCACCTGACCAGGGACGATACCCTCTCTCTACTGGATACAATACCTACTACTCCTACTCGATCTTAATTCCCCCCGCTTACCGTCTAGTGTGGTGGTGATTACCAGAGAACAAGAAGGACAAAACTACAAACACATTGGAAGAGGGTCAAAGCGACGACAAGACCAGAAATGACTTCATAGAATCAGCCAGAACTCGGCCCCACTCGGTCCGTCGCAAACAAAAAACCACTAAAACAATCTACCTACTTACTACTAGTACGATGGAGTATGGACGGGTGCACTAGACTCGCATCGTCGTCCCATGACTTCACTCCCCCACTTCGCGTCCCGCAAATAACCTCATTAAACCCCCAAACAAGGCACACGAGGAGAGAAAGCCAGCGAAAGGAGAAGAGAGAGAACCTCCAGGAACCACCCTATCGAAACGATTTGGTTCCTGATGGGGCTGAGGCTGGATTTCCATGTCAGAAGCTTTTCTCGAGGTACCGGACCCTGACCACCACCACCACCACCACAATTACTGATATCATCCGCCGAAGCGTCCATGGTTCTGGACAGGGGACACGCGCGCGCTTGTACGCAGCATGTATGTACGTATATGCCTCCGAAAATCCAAACCGCAAACACACTTCACGGCTGCTCCACTTTATTATTTTTTCCCCACCACAACCTTAGCTCTTAGGTTGGTCCTTACTGCCACTTCCCGTCAACAAGAGGCTTTTTCTCGTTGTCAAAAAAAAAAAAAAAAAAACCTAAGAGGTGCTACCAAGGCGAGCTTCCAGTCAATGATAACAAGACCACAGCGGAAGCCCTAAAAGCAGTTACAATAGTACTGCCAACAGGACATGCAGAGTAGCTCGAGTTGATGCTTGTGGCTTGTGGCTTGTGGCTTGGGTCGTATGACCCCGGCGCCCCTAGTTTGAGAAAACCCAAATTTTACACGAAATATATATCCAGTTCGAGTAGAACCCAGCAAAGCGGAGGGCACGGCGACTGCAGCCTGTGCATTACTCCTGATCGAATTACGCATCACTTCCCAGTTCTGGCCCGGTCTATGTTTCAAATCCTCCTACTTGATGCTACCCATACTGTACAATGGAGATCCTCGCAAGGAAAAAGCAAGTCAATGGACAGGCAAAACTATTAGTTATATTTTAACCAAGGGGGATAAACGCCTCTAGCATAGGAATATGGTCATCACGAACGTCGGAACCAGTCGTCGCAGGGATACCAGCCCAGTGACATGTCTATTTCAGTCCAAATCCCTCACTGTTGAGCACTGCTCCCCAGAGCCTCTGCTCTAATTGTTCCCGTGTAGTATATCGATACAACCCTAACATATTAAAACATGTACGTGCAGTTGGGAATCGCGACGAGTCGTCTCCGAGACAGGCTACCCGGATTACGAGACTTGTTGCCCCCATGGCTGGAATACGATCACTGCCTGTAATAAACGATAGTATCTTCCGCTGTGCCTGCGGCTGTGTGTGCTCGAAGAAATCCCAGAACCACTGCACGACCGGCACCATCTCTGGTCGGGGGTCCGACCAGTTGTCATACGTAGCAACTGCCCGTAAGGACGCCACGTCCAACGGTTCGTCTGAGCCGCGTACTAGAAGTTCAATCTCCTCAGGGCGGAAGAGGGATAACGCATTACCGCCACAAACAGTGAAGAAGCCACGCTTGAAGGGCTCGAACTGTCTGGTAACGGCCGTATCCAACAGGTAATGAACATACAAGTCTACAAACTCCCGTCGGTTCGCATTTGTAACAGGCCGCTTGTCGCCCCCAGCACAGAGCGGCACCGCAACTACTTCACCATAGCGATCCATTTGAGCGACGAAGTCATAACAGAAGGTCTCCGCAACATCTCCTTCGAAATCCAGAAGGGCTCGGAGGCCCTTTGCAAGTGCCGGTCGATACTCAGCCAGGTCATCGAGGTTACACTTGTAAGTCGACCGTGTTGTTGCAGGCTGTGGTCCAGTCGTTTGCGGCGCCGCAGCCAAAAGTTTCTTGAACGCGAAAGGGGGAAGGTTTATATCAAGAATTGTGGAGTTGTAGATGGCTAGTCCTAGTAGAACTCCGACCAAAAAGAACTGCTCCGATGATTCGAAGCAGTACGGATTGAAATAACAAAACTGCGAGTCTTCGTCGTAGATAAAAAGTCCTGCATCCATGTTAGTACGAATATGAATCATGGTCAACGATTGTCTTACCGTGATGAGGGTCAAAAATCTCCCGGACTAACAACAAGAACCATTCCTTGCGGAGACCGCCTGCGTCCACGCCCTCTTCACCGACAAATTCTATACGGAGGCCCTTCTTAATCTCTTCTTGACTCGAACCTACAACTTCACTAACACTTCGGAGACTGTCATCAACTAAACAATCGCGTCGCACTCTTAACAAGAGATACTGGCTGATCGCTTTCCGACTCAATATGCTATTGAAGAAGGCTTCGCGGGCTTTGACTTCCATTTGCCGGCGTGCATCGTGCTCAAGTATATGAATCTTAGCCCAGATGCTAAGGAAGAATGGGTATTGACAGAAAGAGAATTTCATGCTCTTTGACTCCCAGGCTTCAAAATCAGCCACAAGGTCCGAGTAGTCTAGCAATGTATTATAGAATGCGCTAACTGGGACAATTTGCCCTCGTCGGTATCCTTGAGGTTTGGCCGCAGAACCTGCTTCCTGACCGAGGATTCCATCCGGCTTGCGAGCAATGTTCGCGTTATTGGCAGTGAAAAGAAGTGACATTACTCTGGCTGCTGCCCGAAGCTGCCAGTCATCACTATAGACCACCGGCTGATCGCGTTTCTCGGTGGCCTGTTTATTGGTGCTTCTCCCATTAATGGCCGCGTGCAATTCCGCTGGCGTATTGCCGGCGGCGCTGGAAAAGCTTGGGACTAAATCATCATCATGCTGTGCAGACTCGCTGCGTTTCCGTCCATGTTGACGAGTCAAGCGATATGTCACGAAGCTGCCGACGAGATCGACAAGCTTTTCAAATTGCCCGGCTGAAAACCGCGAAAACCAAGAAACAAGATAGTGATGACAGTCATTAGGTAAGTTCGCTAACAAACCCAGTATCCGCTTAACGATGCCGGAGTGGTAACCAGGTCCTCCGCTCCGATGTCTGGAGGGAGATTTGATATCAGGAGGCACTGGTCTATGACCGGTATCTTTCGTATTAGATGGTCTTCTGTCACTACGGGCTGCAGAAGCGGCTCCAGGGTGGAGTGCAACATGCTGACTCGACGAGTATATCAATGGATTCACCAGGAGCATCAAGAGGAACCTAACATCCTCTGGTCGCTTCAAAGGCCGCCGGGGCCGCTTCAAGAGATTCTCGGTAGCTTTCATAAGTGTCCTGTGCAGGTGCAAGCGCGACTCCATGAAGTCTCTATCAATGAGGCTCCTATCCACAGCATCCCACCTCTTATTTCTCGTACAATCATCTCCGTCGTGGGCGTCATGAGGCTTCAGCCCTGACCACTGCTCGACCCATGACGCTCCTGCCGTCATGATCAACTGGTACCAGTGTGCCAGTTCAGCCCAATTGATACGGGGACTCCTGGAGCTGACAGCTCTTGCAGAACCAGCTGGTTTTTCTTTCAAGTGATGAGATCTAATTTGTTCGGTTTCGTTCATCCACCAGGAAGAATTTTCGGCTAAATCTCCTAAGAGAAGAGTCTTTGCATCTGGTTCAAATACCGGATGTGCATGCGTAACACTATTGTCCGGTTTTTGTTTAAGAGGGCTGCACTCACTTGTAGACGGTGGTGCATGTTGTGTCGTAGTGAAGGAGCCGTTGAGGCAATCGCAGCCTTTGAATGAAGTTATGATGTACTCTTCTACCGCCCTAAATATGTAAGGGCGACTCGGCTTATCTCTGGCTGCATAATCGCATGGTCGCCCAGCTTCACGTGGAGAACGGTCTCGTTTTGGCGTGTTCTGTACATCCCGATTTCTCATATGAGATTCTCTTCCTTCGGTTTGTAACGAAAACGGAGCAGCATTAGGTTTCAAGTAATTTGCTGTACCATTCACCACATCGGGCCGTCCAGACCTACTGGACGCTGACGCACTACGACCCCGAGGATCCACCGGCCGGGGTTCGGTGAGATAACCAGAGGGTTTACCTGGGGATCTTGATGAATTTTCGTCTTGTCCGTTGATATGCCTATCCGCCTGGCTTCCCCCGGGGCATGCTCGTGGGCCCCGCCCATCCAAGAGTTGTCGGAGATAGCTCGAAATGCATTCATCGATGATAGCCTTCGTTCGATCAACGGACAATGGAATAGCTAAACCATACAGATTGAAGTTAGACAACAAGCATTGAAGAATGTTAGACGCTAGAGCGCACCTTTCCTGGGTATTGTCGGCAATGGCTTGTCGTCCTTCCCTGGATGAGCATGCCCGCTCGACTCGGTGCACCCTCTCTGCGGTTCCAAATCATTGACGGTGAGGCATTCTGTACATCGAAAGACATTGAGATTCCGGGGCCATCGGACAGAGCAGTTGCATGTCATGCACTTCCCCGTCGTCAACTCCTCCCCGGGCGACAAACGCGGGGCACCTTTCCGAGGGCTACTGGAAAGGGGATCAGGTAAATACGTGACCTCGTCGTCATCGTCGTCAGAATCTAGAAAGTCGCGCTTGGATATCGACTTGTTTCGTCTTCTGCCGGAAAATGGCGACGGGAATGGATGGCTGATCGAGCGAGAATGTCCTCGACGCTGAAAGTGGTGTGGCGGTGAGGTTGCCAGATTTGCGACCATGGAGGGCGGAAATTGAGCTTCATGGGGCAATGACGATGGGGCGCCCCTCTCCGTAGGCAAAGGAGGGAGGGGCGCATTTAAATCGACGACATTTGGATGTAAAGTTGAAGGGTGGGATTGATTACGTGTAGTCCGCGGCGGCATATGGGCGCATTTGTTAAATTAATACTTTTGCTGTTGAGTTTATTTGATCCCGGCAATGAAACGAAAGTTACCGGGTGGGCGGACGATATGAGAGGGAACAAGATCTTGGTTGTCGCCCAGAGATGTGGTTCGAAAAGATGCAGCAGGGGGGTCACGTTTCGCAGTTCCAGGTCAAGTAAAACTAGTAGTAATAACCTGGACCGGATATTGCCGAGAAATAAACGATGGTGCACTACCTAACTTTGGCATGGAAGGAAAAAGGTTAAGAGTGTAGTCCACCAACCGAAGTGGAGATTCTAGTATTGTAGTTCGTTGCTTGAGTCGATAAGTAAACAAGAATGGGGGAGGGAGGGGAGAAAGTAGTATGTACTAGTAGTACAAGCAAAGACAAAACCCTGCAGGTATAAAGAAAAGAAAAGGAAAGAAAAGGAAACGCCGCTTAGACTAGCGAGGCAATATTTGAAGTAGTAGTAGAGAAAGCACGACGGATTAGGGAGGTCGCATAGTAGGGAGGTGAAACCGTAGTTGTAAGTTGCGATCCGGAGAGGACAGGCTGCCTTAGGCAACCCACCTTCCTACGCTGACTATGCCCTATGAGTGGCCGGTCCATGAACGCCGGGGCAATTAGTTGGGCGCCAATGTGACGCTGATGATACTATTTTCGGCGTCTTGAAAGGTCTCCATAATGGTAAAACCTGCGCACTTCACTAACTGTCAATCCCCGCTACAGAGATCAAGGCTATGCTTAACTAATTGGACGGGTGTCACTGTGCAATTAAACCTGTCTCGCAATTGAAACACCATATTCGCTACCCGCCCATCTACTTCTGCTTCTCCATCCGCCAGAGGTAATTTCGGAGTATCATTCTCCTTGGAGAAAATTTATCTCACAACTTCTTCCTATTCATGCCATTGCAAAGTGATATGCCGGTGCGCGGAATTGATCTCAGGCCCTCTTGCCCATTATATGACCTACGAGATGCTCCATGCGGTTGAACAGAAATAGTCATACTTCGTTAGGGGAATATAAAAATTGAACCAGTGAAAAGATTTTTGCTAACATCCGATCCGAAAGATCTGTTGCATTATGCTCGCACCCATTTCAAGGATATAGTCATAGAAGCGAGTTTTGATCGAGATAAACACATCCTCAGAATGACATTTTTTCCACGACACACAACCCCAGCTATCCACCAAACTACGCTTAACGGTATCTCCAGTAGCTCTGGGTGTTGTGGAGCTTCCAGGTGTGGCGGCGGCCAGCCTTGGTGTTGTTGTAGCGGTGGCCCTTGTTGATACCACGGGACTTCTTGCCAGTGGCGGTAAGACCACGAGCCTCGCGGTGCTGTTCGCAGAAATTTATATCAGTACTAGTCTCCCAGAGAGCACCGGGCAAGAGAAACGAACCTTGTGGACAGCGTTGCAGATCCAGTTGATGCGGGCATCACGGCGGATGGCCTTGTGCTGGGGGTCGACAAGGATAACCTCGAAGTACTTGTAGGTAGAGTCCTGGTTGATCCAGTAGGAGTTCAGGACACGCAAGTTGGCGCAGCGGCGGCCAACACGCTCCTCAGCGGTAGCACGGAGCGCACGCTGGTACTTGAGCTGGTTGATACCCTGGTTGGTGGGCTTGCCTACAATCGAAAACTGTTTAGCCCTTGCCCTTCCTGACGTCCTTCGCAATTCTGATAGAGAATATTCTGCATACCGTAGGTGGCACCCTTGGGTGCGGGCCTCTTGCGGCCACCGCGTCTCACACGGATACGGTAGACAACATAACCCTGCTTGGCCTTGTATCCGAGACGACGAGCCTTGTCGGGGCGAGAAGGACGGGAAGCACGGTGGATAGCGTTCAGCTGACGGAGCTATATTGATGCACTCTCAGCAAAGTTCAACGAGTGTATAGCAAGACACACGAAAGAATGTGCCACATCCATCCGCCGGCGAAAAAAGATCGTATCGAGCCGCCCAGTAACACCCTCTGAAGAAAAAGGTATCCTATGGCATAGCACACGAGCATCCGGCGGGATGTTAAATTATCGATATTGAGGGGGGGATTCTCACCTCCCAGCAACGGACACGGAGAAGGAAGCGGACCACATCGGACTGCTTCTTCTTCTGGATTTCTTCCACGTACTTGAGGGCACCCATCTTGAAGGACACGGAAAGGTCAGTGTTAAAGAATTGATGGCTCCCGATAATTCCAAAGCCGTTGGTGAAATCGTCTTAAGAACTCAGGAAGAGCTGGGTATTATAAACATACCTTGTCGGCGGTGGCAGGTCGTCTGTTGTCGTCGAAGTCACTGCTGAGGTGTTGAAAGAACGAGATCTCTTCAACGAGGTTGTGTGTGGGACGCTAGGAAATTAGGCGAGATCTCCCTCATCCACCAACCAGCATCCATGTAAGCCCTTTCAAATGCCTGAGGTGTCGAAGAGCCGCCAAGAGCCGAAAATGGTTAGAGTAAAAGAAAATGAAAAAGCAAAAAAATTTTCTTTTTTAGCCTTAATATCGTTCTAGTAGGAGTACGGTCTATAACCGTAAAGCCTTCAATATAAGGCAACCAAGTTGTTCTTGTGACGAAACCACTTAGCTTTCTGCTATAGTAAATCAGGGCTTACTATTCTCCTTGCCAGTCTCCTTTAGTGGAGGGATACAATCCTCATAGTAGATATTGATAAGTTCAAAGATACAATCTGTCAAACCATGTATTCACTACCCCCTCGTATTGTAGACACCTATTCTCCACGCTCTCAATGAAGTGGACAAAACTTAGAACCATATCCGATAAGTGTCGCCTCATCCACTACAACTACGACGAGATTCAACCAAAGCACAGACAGCAGGATAGTACAGCAGTTAAAAGAAATAAAAGAGCATTTGGGAGTACAAACAGGAAAATCGCGCCAACTCCTGAGAACATCTTGGACATCAAATTCAAGCAACCGAGCATTTAGGTCATGAAGCTGAAAGTCTATTAGGTATCAGCACCAGCGACAGATCATTATCTCCGTTGATCCGTGACATGCATTTTCTAATTCTTTAACAAGCGAAAAGAAATGAAAAATAGGGGAAAAAAAAAAAAAAAAAAAAGGCACATTACAGGCAAAGGGGAATAGGGTGGATAAAGAGTGGCGGGGGATTAGGGGATGATGTGATACAGGGCAAGCATGAGGATTTAGTCGAAGTCTTAGCTGAAGGAAGCATCTGTGACGTGGGAAGAGGGGTGTGAAAATACTGGAAAGAATGGCATAGCGAATAGCTGTCTTGCGCTACTTCGCTCTGTCCACTAAGCCCAATATAGGAATGAACGTGTGCAGCAGCTGAGGCTTTGTTCGCAAACATGTAACGCTTCGGAGAAGACAGAAAGGATGTAAAGACATCGTCAGAATAGACTGTTTCCATAATCGAACACTCTTCTTCTCAAGCTCATGAGACACACCACTATGCGAACAGCAGGGCATATTGTCAGCCTCAAGAACCTAGAGACAGTCCCTGGAAGCGGCCCGCCCAATCTGCATGAGACTGGTGAATGCGAGGACCAGTAGCTGTCCCAGGACTAGTCGCATAATCAACGTAGCTAGACTCTAAGCCACCATACGCTGTGGGTGAGTAGGGAGAAAAAGGGTCACCGGTAGCGAGCGCACCCAAACCAGATTCCGGCTGGCGAAGACCCTGCCCGAAAGGTTGATAGGACTCTGTGTATGCGTTACGCAACGCACCCATCTGGTTGGCAATAGCTTCTCTATCAACCCCGTCACGAGCATGGCCGTATGCCCTGCTTTCTGGGTGATGAGATCGGTCTGTCTGGTTCTCGTTATTGTAGCCCAGAGGGTTTGGAGGCTGCAAGCCAGCAGTTGGGGGCGTGACAAACGAAGCTGGATTGATGGCTGACATCCAAATCCTAGTCTTGTATATCTTGAATAAATCAGTCACAAGAGAGTTGAAGTTGATATATGAGTCCGCGAAATAATAGAAAGTAAGCTTCTTCCAATCCCTGTAAAAATTTATTAGTATCAAGGGCCGTCCATAGTAATTCTCATACGATACTAACATTTGGAATTCCGCATCAAGTATCTCCATGTTGAGCCGATGTTCTGCAACTTTCTGCTGGCAGACCCGCTTAGCCTTCGCCTCGTTGCCTTCTTTATCACGCAATGTTAAAATCTCATGGTTCTGAGCAAGTCTCTTGATCAACTTTGGCTTTATATCTGCAGCCGATTCCTGCACTCCATGAGGACCATGAGGACCCATGCCACCAATGGCGCTTCGGCTGCTCAACCCCCCGGAGGGACTGATGGCATTGGCCGCTCCACTCTGACCTTGTCTAGAAAACATCATCAACCATTTGTAATGTTCTTCAGCATACTGTTGTTTCAGTTCACGGGCCCTTTGCATGGAAACGTTGGCATGTTGGATGGTTCCGAGATCGGTGCCGCGGTCGGCTTCAACGATGACTAAATCTCCAGGTTTCACTTGAAGGCCGGTGTCTTCTTGTATGTAGAAAACATCCGCGCGGTGGCACTTGAACGTCACAATGTAAAGAAGCTGGTTTTGGTGTGAATGCGCGAGGCCTGCCTGGTGGCGGGCATAGGCAGTCGGCATCGTATATGCTTGGTGAAGGGATGTCGGCACTGCGGAGGGAGCCTCGGCAGCACGAAGAGCTTGATCTCGAGCAAAGTAGGATTCTGCAAATTGACGAGCTCGTAAATACTCCGTTTCCATTTCATGCTCCTCGGGACGAGGAGTCATATGAACACGATAATACTCACGATTCTGGCCTTGCGCGTTTGAAAGGGCAGGTTCAGTGACACCAACATAGTTATCCTCCCGGTCTCCAATCCCAGGTCTCGAGGTTGCGATTACTTGTGATTCACCAGAAATAGAACCGTGCCGAATAGGGATATCGGCAAAAGAGTGCCGTCGACTCTGAGGAATATCGGCCATACTGCCAAAGCCGAGGGAGGTTTGCCAGTGGGCCTTCCTGACATTATCCAGAGCCCGGTTTTCCAGTGAAGTGAACGGTGGAAATTGTTTTTCGAGGTTGGCCGAGTGCTCAGAAAACCTTCTCCTGGCACTGCCATGGATACTGTTGTAGCCGGGGATATCTCCCACTTCGTCAAGATCTTCCACTGCTAAATCTGCCTCTTCTGGGACACTGCCGCGGATGCGGTGCAAGTTATGAGCACCTGCGCCAACCACGTATCCGCCGGTCGCGGAAGCGGACGACATAGCACGGTCTCGGAAGCTGCTATCCATCTGCCCGGCAGCCTGACGCAGAAGAGCGTTCTCTCGCGACAGTTGTTCGATGGTGCGGGCCTGATTACTGGCGTAGTTGCTGAGACTATGCTCCGAGCCGTTGGGGCTTCCATCCTCGCCGTCATCGTCTTCGCGGACCCGACCGAGAGTAGCAGGATCATGACCCAACTCGAGAAGACTAGGCCGGGATGAGCGATGCTGCAACGCAGAAAACTGACCCCCATTTCGAGAGCGAGCGCCACCGGAGTAAGTCGCACCGGGCTTGTTTGCCATTAGGTTTAAGAATTCCGGATCCAACTGGCCCACCGAGTACGACTGCGAACGATAGGTTTTAGGGGTTGGGTGCAGCGGAATTGAGAAAGGAATAGCCGATTCGCCAGATGTCGTACGGGTCGTAGGGCTCAGCAACTCGTCATTAAAATAGTTGCTTGCGGTTGAAGGGTTAGACATAGTGGGAGACGGGACGATTTCAGCCAGACGAGGTGGTGGCTCTTTCCGAGATTCGGTGTTCCAAATTCCAGTGCCCCATGGGAATGAGCCACTCCCAACGTGATTCCAGCTGATGGAACTACTCATTACGGGGCTCGTGCTAGGCCATCCGGACTGGTCGGTCGCGGGACTAGTCGGGTTTGAAGCGCCGGAGGACAGGGGGCCAGTGCTAGTTAAAGAAGCTTTTCGGTGAATATTGACAGGCACTTCATTGAGCCACGAAGTACGACGTGCAGGCTTTGGAACGGGTGCAATGGTAGATGTAGATGTAACCTGCGTGTGTTCAATGTCATCATCGGACGACGCCAACGCCTCCGAATCAGGCGTCGAGCGGCGAACACCTGGGTGCGTCTTCTCCAGTCTGACAGAAGCAGTAGCATTTGGGGTGGAAGAAGTGCTAGACTTGATTGCCTGCACTGGCTTATTGGCTTGCGCAGCCATAGTGTTATAGAAGTTGAAGGAGTCCCTCCCTAATTGCAGAAAAAAGCAAGTCTTGCCAGACTTTCTAAGTTATAAAGACAAGGAGAGACCTAAGAACAAGAAGTTAGTCAATGCATGCAGTATGCTGCGGCTAGGAACAGGAAGGGCTGTCTTTAAGGTTCACAACAGCACGGTACTATCAACCAGTGGCTAGAAGGTACACAGGTTACTCACCCAGGCTTTGTAAGATCAAGATCAGCGGTTATATGCTGAGAAGAGGGATGAAAAGTTTGCGTTTAGCCTTCAGAAGCGGTCGAAACGAATCACCAGTCGGTAGTCAAAGTAAAGAATCAAAATTCAAAAAGCGTGTGGTCGACTTTCGAAGATGAAAAACTAAGCAAGGTTAACGGACAATGTCGAAACAATCTATGAATTCTGAAGACAAGTTCTTTAAAAAAAAAAAAAAAAAAAAGGCAAAGGGAATCTGAGATTTATAAACACTCTTGTTGTACTAAGGTCAGTTTGATCTGCATAGATATTGCAATGGGAAGGATGTGTGCAGTAGAACGAACAGAAACACAAAACTAAGGAAACGCATGTGGGGTGTGCCAACCGACAGAAAAGGGATACATATGTTTGGGTACTTCGAGAAATAGAGAAACGAATCATGTCGGAGGATCATGAAGATGATGAAAGGGTATATACACCGCCAACAACTGCGGGTGGCGATATTGGGAGTTGGACGTGGTGAATTGCCGGGTATAGCATGTCAGATGACTGCCAACCCTATGGAAAGAGAATCTCAACGCAATATAGGTAGTACTCGATTCATCCCTCACTGGCTATTAATGAAAGCTGGTGAATCTCTGGGGGTATGACGACGTTTGCTTAGGGTTTCTGCTGTAGTTGACTTGCGGAGTTTTGAAGGACATTGAATAACAAATAAGATAAGGCATATATCCCAACGGTTTGTGACCCTGGTGTA